GGGCCTATTAGGGCCAAGAGAGTGTGTGTATCGTACTGTCAGCTGCCAGTCAGGGGAGAGTCATTTGATGACTCATTGGTGGCACATTGGTGGCACATTAGTGGCAGAGCCCCCACAGCCGTGGAGCGGCACAGGAGATGCCGACGCTGCGGGACACAGAGCGGCTCTGAGCGCTTTGTCCTGCAGGGACTGGCTCTGCACACCAGAGCGATCCCAGCAGGCTGATCCAGAGTGGGGGAAGCAGCAGGAATTGCTGCTGGGCTCTGGAAGGCAGGGATGGAGAACACTGAATGGTGACCTGGAGGTTTGATCCTGCTCATTGTGGCCGCTTTTGGGGTGCCAGAACCGTTCCAGTCGATCTGAAGTCATAAACTCAGGAGATACTCAGGACAAAAGCAATCAAACTGCCTTCTTTACTGCAGGGAAACACAGCTTGGGAGAAGATTCATGATTTCCGATTTAGGAACCCAACTATTGGTCAATTATTGGCCTGTGGTTTGTTCTACACCTGGAACTATTCCCAAAGTGCTGGGATTTGGCGTTTTGGAAAATACACACAGACACAGATACACAGGCACAGAGTGTGACTTTGCTGAAAGGGTTTATTGATTATTTTTTATTGAGGGGAAATGCCCCAGGGCTCATAGGGGATCAGAGGGTTCCTCCTGGGATGATGATCACCTCATGCCACAGGAGGGGATCGGGACACTGGTGTCCCCAGAGTTTCCAGTCCTAAAAGACAAATCCCAGAACGTGACCTCCAGAGTGCACTGGGCCATGGATGGGCTTTGTCCCCCTCCCTGTCCCTGCAGGTACTGTGGGCAATAGGGACAGGCAGTCAGAAGATTACGCGCTGTACGGAAAGACAGAATCTCCCCTATGTTATGCAAGTTACGCAAGTTATGCAAACAGATGGAATTATGTAGCCCCAGGCTCTATAATGCTGCGCAACTTGGAAATAAATGCCTTTTTACCGTCCACCATATTTGTGTCTGCGAGTAATTGGCCCGAGCAGTCTGAGGTGGCTGCCGTGCCGTTCCCGAACCAGGTCATAACACTTCGGTGGAGTCAACAAGTGGTGCCGAAATCCGGGAAGCTGGGAACGGGACTCACCTGTGTGGGTGAACAGCGGCCGGAGAGGCGCGACCAGTCCGGTGGGGAGGACGCTCCCGGACCAGTGAGAAGAATGGAAGCCCTCACGAAGGTCATCACAATTACATAAGAAATGGGGAATTAATTGCAAGCCTAAAGATTTAATTTCTGCCGTTACTAGACTTTTGCAAATAGGTGTTATTGACCGCCCAGTGGATATACTCCACTCGGACTTTTGGGACAGCTGCACTAAAGCCTTAGCGGAGGACACTATGTCCTCTGGTAGCGGGAAATATCTTAAATCATGGGGTAAAGTCGTGCAGGCTTTGTGAGCTGCTTTACAAGAGTAGGAGACTTGGAAAGCCACCCAAGACTGCTTGCTAGCCACACCCAAACTGGGGGTTGGCGCAACAACGCAAACCTCAGTCGGCGATCTTCTGACCAAGCCTAGTAGCTCATGAGAGCAGGCGATCTCCTGTCGCTGCCATGCCCATCCAGCCCCATCCCCAAGTCCCCATCCGTGGAGCAGCAGAAATCTTTGTGGGACGATATACTTGATGAGGTCAGAAATGTTGCTGTTAACTTAGAACTGGGGGAAGCGTGGGACAGACCCCCACCGTATGCCCCACAAAATGGCCCTGGACAGTGGACCAAAGGGTGGGGTCCACACACAACGGGTGATCAAAAAAGGGGATTGTCGAGCACGGCGAGTGAGTACGAGTGGAAGCAGGAGGAAGTTCGAGAAAAGGGGGGCAGCGGGAGTGGTCATGGAGGGGCGGAGATTGTGAATAAAGGCAATAAGCCCAATCAGGACACGTGCCGAAAGATGTGCCTTTATATGGTTAGACCTTCTGAAAGTAGGGGACGGAGTGACCGCAGGGGGAGGGAACAGCCAACCCATCAAAAAAAGGAGCGGGAGTGGAGCTCTACAAAAAGGTACCGGAGCCCGGGACGGTCTAATCAGTCGACTTCCGCCTCTGAGTCAGACACCAGCGGGGATGACTGGTCAGACAGCCGGTCTGCCACCGATTCAGATTCAGAATATGAGAGAGTTAACGTGAGTAAAACTAGAAGCGATAAGTCTCCTGCACCGACAAGAAGGGGGCAAGCGAGGGCTACTCCAAACACGGACTGGAAAAAGATACAAATCACCTATGATGACTGGGCCTTGCCTGCCACCTTGGTGTTCCTGGTTCGTGTCACAGACGGAAGGCAAAGGACCTACACCCCTGTGAATCTGGACCTACACCCCTGTGAATCCTAAAAATGTGCAGGCAATCGTTAAAGTGATTGCAGATAAAGGAATCAACTCTGCCATGGTCTCCACCATTGTGGACAGTGTCTTTGGAAATGAAGATATGCTACCGTTTGACATAAAAGAAACATGCAGAATGATTTTAGATGGAGCAGGAATGATTGTTTTCAAACGGGTGGGAGGAAAATTGCATGCAGCAGCTAGCCCAGGTAACCGGCGCAGACCACGCACGACATGGCTCCACTCTGCAGCGACTAATGGGAACCGACCCAGCAATGATTACATCTCAGGCGTAAGCTCAGCAATTATGGGCCCCTGAAGTTGCGATGACCACTCGCGCAGCCAGAGAAGCCATCCGTATAGCCTGCAGAGTAGTTGCCAAACTGGTGCCATGGTCTACCATAAAGCAAGCCAAGAGTGAAAGTTTCACCCAATTTGTGGACCACCTCCAGGCAGCGATCGATTCCTCGGCTCTACCTGTGGAAGCAAAAGGCCCAGTAGTACAGGAATGCCTACGTCAACAATGCAATTCAGCTACCAAAGAAATTTTATGCTCACTGCCAGCTGGAGCAAGCCTCACGAGCATGATCAAATATGTCACGAAAGAGGAACACCTAACCCCAATTCAGGCAGCTGTCTGTACAGTGATAGCCAATGTGATGGCATGCCTTTAATGTGGTCGGCCTGGCCACGTCGCATCAAACTACCCCCAAGTAGCTGACCCGCAATTTTTACTCCACTCACTACCCTTGCGTCAAAATTGACCCAGAGGACTGTGTTGGGCCTGCGGAAAAAAGGGACACTTTGCAAAGGGTTGCAGATCTAAGGGCAGGGAAACGGGAGAGGGAGGGGGCGGGCGGGCCGTGTGCAGTCCCCTCCCACTTGGGATGTGAAGTGGCCCAGCTATGCCTACCCCGGATGGAACGGGGGGCTACCGAATCTGCCACCCTCCCAAATAGCAACTGGTTCTGCTACCTACCCAACGACTCAATCAAATTTTGGAACAACCTTGAATCAACTAGTATCGCCCCTGGGGATCGAGACCCCTGGGTGGCCCTGGCCATAGAATGCAATAACCCTCCCATAGTGTGGGGAAGTTGCTGCCTTTACGATGTTCCCCTCTACAAGTTCCCCCAGAATTCCCCTTCAGACAACATCATCATCAACATCCCCTTCTGATCGATACTGGAGTGGACATTATGGTTATCCCAGAAACAAACTGGCCTTCACGCTGGAAATTGGAAGACGCTCCCCCGGTAGGCGGAGTCAGGGGATCCTCCTGAGCCTGCAAGAGTACCCAACCAATAGCTATAACTCTCCTTACAGAGAACGGACCCGAAAAAACCATCGCTCTCTTCCCATATGTCATGTCAGGAGTTCCGCCTTTGCTGGGAAGAGATGCCCTAGCCCAAATAAAAGTCAGGGTGACAAATTTAGCCTGAGGGCCACTGCCGCACACCCACCCTTCCCAATCAAGCTGACATGGAAGTCCCATAACCCAGTGTGGGTTGAGCAGTGGTCCTTGCCAGAGCCTCGAATGACTGCCCTTCTTAAGTTTCTTGATCGTCAGCTGCAACAAGGTCACATAGAGCCCTCCACCAGCTCCTGGAACACCCCAATCTTCGTGGTTCCCAAGAGAAGTGGTGAAGGCTATTGGCTCCTTCATGATTTGCCTGAAGTAAACAAGAAAATTCAATCAATGAGCCCTGTCCAAACCCTGCTGCCCGCAAACTCCATGATACCAGAAGGACAGCCTTGTGCAGTGCTTGACATTAAAGACTGTTTTTTCTCAATACCACTGCACAAGGAAGACAAAGAGCAGTTTGCCTTTTCCGTCATGTTCCTGAACAGCCAGCATCCCAATCTGCATTTTCAGTGGACAGTGTCGACCCAAGGCATGGTCAACTCCCCCACTATCTGCCAAATCACAGTAGATCGAACATTGACATCAATCCGAGGTGAAGACCCCACCGCCACCATCATCCAGTATATGGATGACATCTTGATCACCGCACCATCAGCAAGTCAAGTAGACCGATTAGTGTCTTCTGTTTCACAAACCTTGCAAGCAAGTGGGTTCGAAATTGCAGACGCCAAAATAAAAAAGGGGCCCTGCGTGACCATTTTAGGAGTGCAAATCATGGGCTCCTATGTAACTCCTCCACAAATAAAAATCCGTAGGAACGTCAAGATGCTCCACGATGAACAACAGCTGGTGGGAACTCTACAATGGCTTCGCAACATTTTTTTAATTCCCCCCAAAATTATGTCCCCACTATATCTTCTTTTGCAAGGGAAGCAGGCATGGGAGAAAGTCTCTAGCCCCAGAGGCAATAAACTTGCTTGATTTCGTTGAATGCTAGATGTCCTCTGGCTCACTCTCAAGATGGAATCTGAGCATAACGCTTGATCTGTACGTCTACTTCACAGAAGGAGGGGGGGTAGGAGTGCTAGCTCAAGGAACTCCTAATGAAGCTAGGCCCATACAGTGGGTAGTTTTGGGAAAGCCACTACACGCATTCTCCCTGGGTGTTGAGTGTCTCGGCAACCTCATCATGAAAGGTAGAAAACTCACCCTGAGTCACTTAGTCGTTGAGCCTGCTAGAATACATCTACCTTTCCGCAGGCAGCTTCCCACCCTATCAACAGCAATGTCAGAATACCTGGCCTTAGTTCTCCTTAGGTTTGCCGTTGAGCTCCAATACGCCGCGAAACCTCTGTGGACCAAGCTGCTAAGAGTCATAGACATTGACCTCCCACAGAAAGTGATGGACTGACCTTTGCTGGGACCGACTGTTTTCACCGACGCATCCTCAGCGTCTTCGACAGCAGCGGTGGTATGGCAAGCTGAAGAACAATGGCGCTGCATTAAAATGCCGATCATGCACTCTCAGTCCAGCAATTAGAAGCAGTGGCCCTAGTACTGGCATGCGGGCTGTTCACAACAGAGCATCTTAACGTGGTGACTGACTCCATGTTCGTTGCGAGCTCAGCCTAGCCATGTCTAGGCTCGGCATGTCAACATCCGACATGGCAGCGAAAATTGAAGAAGCACTCTGTTCCCGAGAAGGCACCACATTCGTTATCTGTATCAACAGCCATGAACCGATTAAAGGGTTTTTTTCAAATCGGCAATGATAAAGAGATGCAACAGCAAAGAGGCTATGGACACTATGTTTTGTGCCCATCAGTTGCACAAAACACTTCACATTGGAGCCAAAGCATTAGCAAAGAAGTGCGGAATCCCTATCACTGATGCAAAACACGTTGTTGCTCCATGCCCACATTGTCAGAAGGCCCCACTATGGTCCAGTGGAGTCAATCCTAGAGGCCTTAAAGCCTCTGAGGTGTGGCAAACGGATTTCACCCTTTGCCAACTGTTGAAGCCTCGAGCCTGGTTAGCAGTAACCATAGATACATACAGTGCAGTGATCGTAGCCACACAACACTCCAAAACTAACTCCAAGGCAACTATCCAACATTAGTTAACAGCTATGGCATGGCTCGGTGTCCCAAACCAAATTAAAACGGACAATGGCCCAAACTTCACCTCTAAGTCTGTCCAAGCATTTGCTTCCAAGTGGAACATCACTCTGGTACATGGCATTCCATACAATAGCACAGGGCAGGCCATAGTCGAGCAGGCGAACCAGACTTTAAAAAACAAGTTAGAGGTATTAGCTAAAGCAGAGGGCTTCACCAATGCTATTCCCCCAGGAGACCGGGTGTGCCTGCTAGCTACTGCAATGCTAGCATTAAACCAGTTCTCTAGAGGTGATGAGGCAAAAAGCCCAACCCAGAAACGTTGGGCCACCCAAGCTTTGGAAGAAGGCCCACCAGTTATTATTAAGAACGAGCTTGGAGAGTGGGAACAAGGGTGGAAGATAGTCCTAATGGCGCGAGGGCATGCCGCAGTTAAAAAAGACAATAGAATTAAGTGTTGTCCGCTCAAGTCTATTAAGCCAGAGATGCAGTCTTGCTTAGGCTGAGACCCTTTGGACGAGGACACGAGGCTTGACTCCATGTTGATCAGAAGGCTGATTTATTATGATATATATTATACTAAAATGCTACATTACAACTATACTAAAAAGAACAGAGAGAAAGAGATCAGAAGGCTACAAAGACAAGAATAGAACAGGAATGAATAACAAAAATCCTGTGACTGCTCACAGCCTTGGCACAGGTGGCTGTGATTGGTCACTGATTGAAAACAATCTACATGAACCAATGGAAGATTCACCTGTGGCACTCCACAGCAGCAGATAGTTATTGTTTACATTTCTTTCCTGAGGCCCTCAGCTCCTCAGGACAGGAAAAATCCTAGCAGAGGCTTTTTCCCTAAAAATCCTGGCAACAATGCAGAATCAAGGTAATGAAAGCTGTGAGTTTCTTTTTGCAGGACTGGATCTGCGGTTGTCCTCGTGACACGTATGACCACATGCCGGAAAAAGACACAGTGCCTTGGCGGCACCCAGGACTCCTAGAGCCAAAGAACAACAACAAGCCATCGGACGGCCCAACAGCACCCGAGGGCCCCGTACGGGCAAAGATGAAACGGCAACGGTACCTTTGCATCATTGTGTTGTTAGGGTTTGTCAGCACAACTGATGCTGAGCATTACCCTCATCAGCCATTCAGGTGAGTCCTGCATCACCTTTCAGGTGATGTGGCAATCAGAGAAACTGTAGGACCAGGCAGCCCGTCTTTTGAATTTAAGCTAAAGGACATATTCCCTTCACAGATGGGGTTTCCCAATTTTGGGGAGTCATCATTGTATCAGACCTATTGGTGCCCCGCCTCTAACCCAGGCAAAAGCTATTGTAATTACCCAGGATACGGCTACTGTGGATACTGGGGGTACAAAACCATTGTGACAAGTGACAGATGGCAGCCACAGCAGCCTGACAGGTTTCTTCAAGTTAACTATGCTCCCAATGGCTGTCAGGAACCTAAATTCGCGATGGATGGATCATACAGACCCCAAGATGGAACTAAACACACCTGCAAAAGCTATACAATGACTATCCAGCAGCCAACACACAAAAGTTGGGCTACTGGTAAAGTTTGGTCAGTATTCGTCTGCGCCTTTGGTGACCATTGGGTGAACATTCAAATCATTAGACTCCCACAGGTGATGCCCATGTCTCTTGGACCTAACCCAATCCTTGCAGGAAACTGGGCTGGAGAAAGAACCATAGTTACTGTCAAACCCACGCATGAGACACATGCACCTAACCCCACCTCTACACCACCCACCCTTTCAGCGCCCAAGCCAGCTTTTTATGACCCACTGTTTAACATGCTAAATACTACCTTTTTGTCCCTGAACCAATCAAATCTGGATCTCACTGAGTCGTGCTGGCTGTGTTATGACTCAAAACCACCCTTTTATGAGGGCGTTGCCTTGAATGTCTCCTTCAACTACTGAACATTACAAAATCCACCCCAGTGTAGGTGGGATACCTCCCGAAGAGGAATCACTTTGAGTCAGATTATGGGTCTGGGCAAATGTTTGGGTAACGCAAGTGTAGCTAGACAAAAAGGTGTCATTTGTGACGAGTTCATACAGCCACAAAGTTTGGACAAATGGGCGATCCCTTCTGGGCCAGGAATGTGGATATGTCAGCAATCTGGGGTCAGCCCTTGTGTGTACCTTGATCATTTCAATTTTTCCGTTGACATTTGTGTCCAACTTCTTATTGTCCCTAGGTCCTATATCATCAAGAGGCAGAAATGTATCTTCTGTCTGACGAGCCTTGCCAGCTCCACAAAAGGGAAGTGATGACCAGTCTCCCAGTGCTCCTCGCTTTGGGAGCTTCCAGCACAGGTACAGGCGGTTCAGCCCTTATAACCCAGCGTCAAGAACTTTCCCAGCTACAGGCAACCATTGGCGAGGACTTGCAAAAAATTGAAGAATCCATCTCCCTTTTAAAAAAATCCCTCTCTTCTCTTTCAGAGGTCGTCTTGCAAAACAGACGAGGCCTGGACCTCTTGCTTATGCAACAGGGAGGTCTGTGTGTTGCCCTGAGAGAGGAATGCTGTTTTTACGCAGACCATATGGGAGTCATACAGGACTCAGTGGCCGAACTGAGAGAAAGACTGGCCTCAAGGAAGAAAGAGAGGGAAAGCCAACAGGGATAGTTTGAGTCATGGTTCAACCAATCCCCGTGGCTAACCACCCTTATCTCCACTCTCATAGGCCCTTGTATTATGATACTTTTGGTATTAATCTTTGGACCCTGTATTTTAAACAAGTTAGTGTTGTTTGTTAGAAATCATTTAGATTCAATTAACATCATGCTAGTTGAACTAGGAAAACATTTTGAACAGCTAACAGTGATATTAAAGTTTGATAACTCAGGTTTGAATAGCTTGATAGCTTACAGTTTAATACCGTTGGATTACAAGTGGTTACTTTATGGATGTTACTGCGTTTGGTTAAACATGGAGAAGGGGGAAGTGTGGGAAGATAGGGACAGGCGGTCGGAAGATTACGTGCTGTAGGGAAAGACGGGATCCCCCCTATGTTACGAAAGTTAGGCGAGTTACGTGAGCAGATGGAAGTGATGTAGCCCCAGGCTATATAATGCTGTGCAACTCGGAAATAAATGCCATTTTACCGTCCACCACATTGGTGTCTGCGAGTAATTGGCCCGTGCAGTCTGAGGTGGCTGCCGTGCTGTTCCCGAACCAGGTCATCACGCCTCAGTGGAGGCAACAACCTTCTCTCCCCACCTGGTATCCATCTGCGTTGGATACCAGAACCTGTGATCTGTATTGCCGAGATTTGGAGAAGGTCCTCTTTAGTCTCCCTGAGTTTCTTTATGATTCTGCTCTATCTTCTCCTGTGATTTCTGCAGACATGGTTCCACCGCTGTGATTCTGGCATGTGCTGGGCCATGTACAGCATCTGCATATGCTTGGAGCTTCTTGGCCATATCAATCATGGTCTCATCCCTGTCATCCCCTTTCATTATGGCTAAAGTAGAAGCATATTCATGTGGCCCAAATTGTACAATTTTTTTGCCACATCACAGATGTACATGGTACCAAGTTTGCATTCCTAGTTGTTATGTTATCTGAGAAGATAATCTTTGCCACTGCCATTTCTCTCAGGTGTTGGATCCCTTGTTCTATAGTCTTCCACTGGGTTTGCTGCATGTAGAGATCGTCTGCACACGGATATCTTTGCGCTATACCTTCCAGGACCCGTGCCCAGAGGCTGTGAGGGTTAGCCCTCCTTGGTCGATGACAGGATCATGTGACAGGAATCCCCAATGCCTCACTTCAGTGCCATTCAGAACTGTAGCCTCACCTGCAGCATCCCAAAGACGGACTAACCAACTATAGATGCATCAGGTCGTAGAGTGTAATCTTTTCTTAGGCCATGAAGGTCCTTCAGGGAAAATGACTCAAGATTGGCTTCTGATCTTGTGCCAGTTGCTTTGACTCCTGATTTCATGTCAGGAAGCATTGAGGGTCTTTCTTCTGCATCATCATCATCTACTGGTCGATGGGTCTTGTCTCCGCACTTTCAGCTTCTTGTGCTAGTAGCAACAGCCATTGGTTGAGGCTCACTGTCAGGTTTAGCTACTGGCTATGTAACTGATGTGTTGGCTGCAGCCTGAGTGACTGGGATAGCTGCTGATTGATCTCTCTGCCCCCCTTCCTCTGTCTGCTGCCCTAGAGTATCTAGCAGTGTGCAATAAGCATATGCCAGGGCCCAGCTCACTGCAATGATCTTTTTCTCCTTAGGGTCATCATGGCACTTCTCTTTCAGGTATTTCCCCACCTCAGCTGGGTTCTGAATTTGTTCACATGGAAAGTCCCAGACTATAGGGTCAGAAAATTCCTTCAGGATTTGGCCCATATCCTCCCACTTCCCACACTACTCAGGATTTTCCACGCCTGGGTCTACTCCTGGCTCAGGGGTCGCATCAGCCCCTCTAGAAATCTCAGCCCTCATTCTAGAGAAGCTGCAGACTGTATTGAGGAAGCTTACCAGATTAAATACCAGAAAAATGGTCTCTTTAACATTCAGGGAATGCTGAACATTCTCCAATAGGCATGTAACAGATTCAGAGGAGAAGAAGGAAAGCAAAGATTAAAAAGCCGCATCCCCTGCTCCTTCTCTAAAAAACTGGGTGCATAACCATAACCATGAACCATTCATACCTGGAACAGACCTGAGAAGCTTTATAAACTTCCTACAAGTCATTGCCAACAAGCTCAGCAGGATAGCTATTCTAGTCCGTGCCCCTCCACTGCAAAAACTATGTATTAGGGACAATATCAGAGCTATTTCTTGATAAGAAAATAAACCTAGAGGCCATAGAGGTATTAAGATCTGAAAAAAAAACCTAGGGACTAGAAATGCATGGAAGCCTCCACCCCAAGAAACATGATGAATTCAAACAACATGGCTATTAACTGCTTTATACCAACACAGAGTAATGGCAACCAAAATGCCATCAGACCAGGGTTTTTTCCACTCTCTCTCACCTCATGTTGGGCACCAATCATTTCTCCTGGTTTAGGGCAAATTTGGGAGAAAACCTCCAAAGGGGGCCCCTCCAGAAAGCAAACCCATATGGCCCCTTCCCCTAACCAGTTCAAGAAGGACTCCTTGGAGAGAAG